ATAGCTGCGGAGGTGAGAGTGAGGTCTCAATACTACGAAATGGCGTAGGTAATATGTGAACGATCCCTATGTTTTCGGAATGTCTTCATTGTGTTTTCATTATGTCTTCAGTGGGGTCTCAGTATGAATTCAGAATTTCTTTAATATGAATTCAGTATGTATTTAGTAGGTTACTGCACTTGTGTGAGCTTGGAGAAGCATCATGAGCGGGCGTTGCCAGGTAACTGGCTATTCCGTGAATGGAAGCTTAGTAGTATGTCTTTAGTATGAATGAAGTATGTCTTCAGTACGCATTCTTAATTCTTTAGTATGTCTTTACGTATGAATTCAGTGGGTTTTTAGTAAGTACATAATGATGATGTCTACTGGTGTTCCCTTCTTCCAAGTTCAGGATGTAGCCAGAATATTTGTATTAGGAGGACTACCAGTACCAGGCGAGCAACCGGCTCCAACCGGCTCCAACAGGGGTCCCCGCTTAATTTTGGCAATTTCTGACACCAAGACAAACTTGTTTAACACCAAATAAAACTAAAAAAAGCAATTAAGTAAGTAATCCAGCTGCGAGTTGCTTCTACGGTACAATAGGCGCCGCCATATTAATGGCGTAAGGAAAATTATAAGTTTATTTAGAACTGTCTGATAAAGGATTTTAGTTTTCTAACTTTTGATTCCACTGTAATAAATTTGCTTGCTCTACTTGGAAAGGTCCATCAGAAGGGAGGACGTTCACTCTATTCACCACCCCATGTACCCACTATACCACCCCATATTCCCTCTATTCATCACCCCATGTTCCCTCTATTCACCACCCCATGTTCCCTCTATTCACCACCCCATGTTCCCTCTATACCACCCCATGTTCCCACTATACCACCACATGTTCCCTCTATTCACCACCCCATGTTCCCTCTATTCACCACCCCATGTTTTTCTCTATTCACCACCCCATGTTCCCTCTATTCACCTACCCATGTTCCCACTATTCACCACCCCATGTTCCTTCTATACCACCCCATGTTCCCACTATTCACCACCCCATGTTCCCACTATTCACCACCCCATGTTCCCTCTATTGACCATCCCATGTTCCCTCTATTCACCACCCCATGTTCCCACTATTCGCCACCCCATGTTCCCACTATACCACCCCATGTTTCCTCTATTCACCACCCCATGTTCCCACTATACCACCCCATGTTTCCTCTATTCACCACCCCATGTTCCCTCTATTCACCATCCCATGTTCCCACTATTCGCCACCCCATGTTCCCACTATACCACCCCATGTTTCCTCTATTCACCACCCCATGTTCCCACTATACCATCCCATATTCCCTCTATACAACCCCATGTTCCCTCTATTCACCACCCCATGTTCCCTCTATACCACCCCATGTTCCCTCTATTCACCACCCCATGTTCCCACTATTCGCCACCCCATGTTCCCACTATTCACCACCCCATGTACCCACTATACCACCCCATGTTCCCTCTATTCACCACCCCATGTTCCCTCTATTCACCACCCCATGTTCCCTCTATTCACCACCCCATGTTCCCACTATTCACCACCCCATGTTCCCTCTATTCACCACCCCATGTTCCCTCTATTCACCACCCCATGTTCCCTCTATTCACCACCCCATGTTCCCACTATTCACCACCCCATGTTCCCACTATTCACCACCCCATGTTCCCTCTATTCACCATCCCATGTTCCCACTATTCGCCACCCCATGTTCCCACTATACCACCCCATGTTTCCTCTATTCACCACCCCATGTTCCCACTATACCATCCCATATTCCCTCTATACAACCCCATGTTCCCTCTATTCACCACCCCATGTTCCCTCTATACCACCCCATGTTCCCTCTATTCACCACCCCATATTCCCTCTATACCACCCCATGTTCCCTCTATTCACCACCCCATGTACCCACTATACCACCCCATGTTCCCTCTATTCACCACCCCATGTTCCCTCTATTCACCACCCCATGTTCCCTCTATTCACCACCCCATGTTCCCTCTATACCACCCCATGTTCCCTCTATTCACCACCCCATGTTCCCACTATTCACCACCCCATGTTCCCACTATTCACCACCCCATGTTCCCTCTATTCACCATCCCATGTTCCCACTATTCGCCACCCCATGTTCCCACTATACCACCCCATGTTTCCTCTATTCACCACCCCATGTTCCCACTATACCACCCCATGTTTCCTCTATTCACCACCCCATGTTCCCACTATACCATCCCATATTCCCTCTATACAACCCCATGTTCCCTCTATTCACCACCCCATGTTCCCTCTATACCACCCCATGTTCCCTCTATTCACCACCCCATGTTCCCACTATTCGCCACCCCATGTTCCCACTATTCGCCACCCCATGTTCCCACTATACCACCACATGTTCCCTCTATACCACCCCATGTTCCCTCTATTCACCACCCCATGTTCCCACTATTCACCACCCCATGTTCCCTCTATTCACCACCCCATGTTCCCACTATTCGCCACCCATGTTCCCACTATTCGCCACCCCATGTTCCCACTATACCACCACATGTTCCCGCTATACCACCCTCCACCACCCACTGGTACGTTAATGCCTTGCTATACCATTCAATTGGAAGAGGGACACGATCAAAATGAAATTCGGTTCGGTCCGGGTGTTTTGACCTGCAGATGTCTACACACTAATAACGTGAAATAACGTTATTATTAATTATTATTATTATTACTTTATTAATAGGCGGTTAATTAGTTACAGATTTATAGTGCACGCATGTGGTGATGTATCATTTGATAGATAAATATGTCCAAAAAGTTCGGTTCGGTTTAACAAAATATTCCTGGTTCAGCCGTTCCATAATTGCAGGCAACGAAAAGGAATTGTATTTCTTTCATCCACTCTCGTCACTCGTGACGATGATCACTTCTCCTTCGAATGTACATGACTGGATGAATGAGTGGGGTTAATATTTTTTAAATGTTGACCACTGCTCCGTCCCTGCCTGTTGCTAGAATTTGTGCGTGAAGATTAAAGTTTGTTATTACTGGATTGCGGGGGCTCTTGATACGTATTTTTCAATTGGTATTGTCGGTTTTAAAATTAAATGATACAACCACACATATGAAGCGAATGTAGTAATAACAAATTACATTTGTTAATCTATCAATGTGTATTGTGAAATTTTTACTATTCTTACTAATACTAATTTTTCCAGTATGTTTTTCTTGGCTCCTAATGGAATTTGTATTTAGAATACTGATCTGTTTAACAAAAAATGGAAAATCAGCTACAATATTTAATAACTTATTGCCTATGTTAAAAATGGCATCTTGAGGTGCATTTTCCCTTTTTATTTTTAGAACCAACTAGGCAGGACAATCTTAGAACTTGGGCGTCATAGCAGTTAGATCTAATAATGTTGACAGTCGGTTCAATTCTAACTAACCGTACTGAGCTATAAAATTTCTGACAAAGATCCCTTAACCCCGGAATTCCGGCACTCTGGCAGGTGGTTAATCGTTATTTTTATATTTTTAGCCCTGATCCTATTGGGAATTTGCCATTTTTGTTTGTCTCCGTTTTTATTTTACCTTTATGTTACACAGTTGCAATTTTAGGAGTAAAGTAAATCGCGGAATGTTTGAGGAAATCTAATTTTGATTACAGCCAAGTTGTTGGTCAACGGTCGAACTGTTAATTTCTATAAGTGAAGTAAATAAAATATGAATTGGTCTCGGATAGCCACGAGATGATAGTCATGTCATGATATTATTGTTGTTCTGAACGTCGGTATAATAAGATCGCTCGCTTACAGCTGATCTCTTGCAATCAAATTAAACATTTTGAGTAATCGAGATTCAAGCTGATAGATACTAAGATACTATTGTCTAATCGTTCATTTTGGTAAAATGATTTTTCTTAGTATTAGTAAACCCTGACGAAGAACATGATCGTTCAAGCAAAATTGTTCGATCTTATTAAATGCTGATTGGGTCCTGATGATGTATTGGTGAATTATAAGAACCATAAGATTTATATTTTATAAAAGCTTGTTCCTATCCAGACTCTGATTTTTCTGTAGTTCGATCAAAAGTTTGATTTATTCATCATACTTTACTTATGAATATTTTTTATAAGATGCCGCCCTGGTTCCGTTTTGTAATAATACGAGGCGGTTAGACTTGGAATTCGCGTGTTTTTCAAACCTTGCACAATGTCGTAATTGACAAGGAACTGTAAGAGGACTATTTTTAGTTCAGTCACTAAAAATTAGCTGAATGGCAGAAATTTTACCAGCACGATGGCCTACAACTCTGGACCTGATTTTTGGGAGAGCTTCCAATTTACTAAATTTTAGCACTTAAGTATAAATTCGTCAGGGAAACCCTACGTATATGTCTTGTCTTTATTATAACACGAGGAATATACTATGCTTAAATTTAGGGGTAATTTAGGGGTGGAGTTCCAAAGTTTGTCAGTATTCATGTCATAGTAGTAGTAGTATGTCATCTGAATTCTTCATCTTCACGTGCACGTGCGCATTACATAGGTATAGGTACCTAGCGGTTCAAAATATCATTTCATATCACAATTTTTTGGATTTCGAGTGTAACTGTAAAATTTTCTAAATAATACAGATTGGCCTTCTGAGTTCAGACAAAACCTGTTAAACCTGTTATAGTACTCTCTTGTAAAATTACTGCTGCAGTGTCAACAGGATTGGAATTCTGATTAAATATCCTCTTGTCAAAATTGTCTAACAGCATCTAGTTCAGCTGGATTTAACCCGTTCTTGTCATTAAAGTATTCGATTTAAATCAGTGCACTTTGACCAGCACCTCAATACATCTAACAAACTGAGGATGTCTGTTAAATTAATCCCCACAATTTCAAATGATCAAGACGTCTTGAGCCTGGCGGTTATACAGGATAAACCAGTATTTAAAATCCCCTAACTCCAATACCTTACAGGCCAGCCACTGGACCTATGGCGTCGGCGTTATCATTACCATTCTAAAGACTCAGAGAGGGTGGTGTTTGTTTTCAACTTTTCTTTTGGTGATACGAATAAAGCTCTGAATTATACTCAAACTACTGAAACCCCGTCAATATGCCACTTAGAGAGGGATCTACGAGCTCACGGGGCTCAGTACCCACCATCATTACCATAAACAATGAGGAAGGCGCACTTGTTGAGGAAGCCTTAATCAAAAAATCTAATGGTTTGCACAAAGACAAAAATGCACTGTCTCCCCAGACAAAAAGGGCGGACGACAAGTACCTAACTCCTTCCAGCGCTTCTCAGAAACGGAAGTATAGCAACTTGGAATTAGCCGCAAATTGGGTTAGTTAATATTCTCATTTAGATGCATGCACATTTGTAATTAACTGATAATTTTACCATTAGTTGTATTATCACTGCATGTGGTTTCGTTCCAAACAGTTTTTAGTCTGTAATATTGTTAAACCAGGTACTAAGACCTCAAAACATTTTGACATTCGATTGAATTTCGTTGCCTTGAAGTTGTCGTTCGGCTTTCCGAAATTCCAAATTGTGTCATTCATGGCGGCATTGAAACGAGCTAGTTAGAATCTATATTGTAGAAGCTATAAAACTAAAAATGCATTCCTACTATCTTCTATATACTTCTATAGTGATACCGACGAAGACATAAATATACTCAAATCGTTTGTTGAATTATAGCGTTGAAATTATATTAGTCATTCATCGTCCGTTGACCCGTTAGTATAATATAAATTAGCCAGGCCCCAGGCTTCAAGCCTATAAAAACTTTAAAAGGATCTTTGTTCGACTACAGTTGCATAAAACATTGGAATTATAGTCAAATATTTCCCCTGGCGCGTTGAACATAACTTACTTACTTTATCAAAACTTAGTCACTTATTGTGTTAATTTCGTTTCGATTCTAAAATAATGCTTATTAATGCTCTGACTTTTCATGCGAAATCATGAATATGTAGCAATATGTAAGACGTAAGTAGTAAATCAAATAAAGATAGAAAATCAAACGTACTTGATTTGTCTATCGCGGTCTACAAAAGTGTTCAAGCTAAACTTTCTATTTTGATAATGTTGCACCATGTTGTTACAATTCATAGTATATGTTAGCTTTTGATGGTACCCTAACGTACACATGCATGTAATTTAGATATGCGTTCCTAGCTGACTTCTTTGTTCGGTAGTAGGGATAATATTTGAGTTCATAAAAGTGTTAGATTGTTAGTGTTTACCGGTTCTTCTGGACTATTTTATGTCCTCTTAGTAAATTTTTTAAAAGTCCGTTCTTTCTGTGTTTGTCGTGTGGATCTAGCGTTTCATGCGTTTATTGTTTTCTTAAGCCTACCATCGAATAAAATCGTCCGTGTACCCTAACATTAATCTCCGAAATGTTAAGGCGATTAAACACCGGCCTCAACATGTTTTCGGTAAGAAATTGCATTTTATGCCTATTGTTTTATAAATAAAGCTTGATACCCCTGCCACCTTTATTGTCTACTTAGCTCATTCAACCGAGTTTAGCTATGAAAATATCTGTTTAAAATGACAAATCAGATATACAGGACCTGCAGACATTAAAAACCAATGACCCCATTTTCAGCGCCACATTAACGAGACAGTTTGTTGTCTCCTCAGCTAAGACCCCTCTCTCTTTCAGGACGACAAGACCAGTATGTGTATCCGCCGGGAGCGGACTCAGATTACCAACTTCTGGTTCAAATACCAGCATCCCAAGTACGAAATCCTGACCGTCAGACTAAATCCCCTCACTACCTTCGCCTCCCTTTTCATTATCATTATGTTTATCATCTGGTGCATTCTCCAACCAAACGGTGAGTGCAGATGCTGAGTGTCCAAACGTAACCAGATTGCTACTGTCAGCAATTTATATATCAGTTTATATTGAATACTCAAAAGTAACCAGATTGCTACTGTCAGCAATTTATATATCAGTTTATATTGAATACTCAAAATTAGCCAGATTGCTACTGTCAGCAATTTATATATCAGTTTATATTGAATACTCAGCAACAAATTTATTTATTGAGGCTGACACTCGGTTAACTACCGTATCGGACTTTATTTGAACGGACATTAATTGAACGCTGGAGGTCCTAGCGTTCATCTTAATGTCCGTTCAAATAAAACGGAATTGGAATAAACTATATCATTGGATTAATGAAAAACAAGTTATTATCAAATTTAAATATTCTTAGTATCGCATTATGGCATGTGAACTTGGCTAGTATATATGAAACATTTGTCATGGAGTTGTAGAGTGAGATATGTGCCTCGCCGGGCTAAAGTAGTGGATGTCCTTGCTGTACGGCAAGTTAAACAAGGAACTGAAACTACTAGGTTCCGTACAGACTCAACTCTGCACCCGTGTCAATATGTTCATTATATGCAAGCCTCTTGATTTATAATCACCGAGTCTAGTAATTGTTTAAGAGAGTTCTCTGGCAGTTACGAAACTCGAGAGACTGTGGGATACTGAAGGGAAAGGAAGCAGTTCTAACGAGCGCTTCTCAAACACAAGGATATATCTTGTGAACTTGGCTAGTATATATGAAACATTTGTCATGGAGTTGTAGAGTGAGATATGTGCCTCGCCGGGCTAAAGTAGTGGATGTCCTTGCTGTACGGCAAGTTAAACAAGGAACTGAAACTACTAGGTTCCTTACAGACTCAACTCTGCACCCGTGTCAATATGTTCATTATATGCAAGCCTCTTGATTTATAATCACTTTGTTGATCTTCGGCTTCCTCGTTCAATTCTTCGGAATTACTAAATTTACACTGAAATGCAGGACCGAGGTGGTGTAACAAAAAAATTGTTTTCAAAAAGCGGTTATCACTGATGCTTTAACTCTTTAAGCATGAAATATTTAATGCACGATAACCCATTTGACGAAAATGACTTTGATAATTGATATGCTCATCAAATCCGGTCATATTTCGTATCTGTTGTTTTTTAACAATTTTTATAATCATAGACACTGATATATGACAGATATTTTGACATTTTTACTGCTTAACGACTGATTTTCTTGCTTATTGTATGAAAAATTGATTTACAAATAATCTGCTAAAATTTTAAAAACGCCAAAAAAACATGAACAAATTTGGATCTCTGATGGTTTTGAATGCCTTCGAGCGTTCATTTTAATGTCCGTTCATAATTATGTCCGTTCATTTAATGTCCGGACAAATAAGGTCCGATAAGGTAATTACAGTCATGACTCACGGTCTTGCTGCGTTTATATGATTCAACTTAACACCTACATGTTCCTTTTTCAGAGGCGGAAAAGATTTTCCTTAACTTAAAGCAGAGTATTACTCAGATATTTACCTGGCTGTATATCGGATCACAAGATATGCGGACTATATTCATCATTTGGCTTTACTTCAGCAAATATGGCCACATGAAACTCGGTTAGTACAAATCTTCATTCAATTCAAATTAAAAGGGATACATTTAGTTCTAGCTGTGCAGAACAAATGTTTCCAAATGTTTCGAAATGTTAGCCAACATAAATTTTAAAAATATGATATGAATTTATGCATGTTTAACCGCCTTTCGAAGGTAAATAAAGTTGTGGTTATGTAATATTTTCCCATTAATCCACAAGTCACTCCAGGTAAAGACGAAGACAAGCCAGAGTTTTCAGATGCCGAGTGGTTTTCTATGTTATTCGCTTGTGGTATTGGAATAGGCCTCTTCTTTTTCAGGTATCTGAATAGGGATATTTTTCAGGTTTTAGAATAGAAGAATAGATCTTTACGTTACCTTCCTTTACTCAAATATAATATACCGATTCAATTTGACATCCTATCGGCACACTTGTGATACCTAAATGCCATCGAATTTATAAAAATAAACTTAGATATAATTGCATTTCGTGACGCAAATCAACAATCATTGCAAGCTTTCATTTAACATCATATACAGACGGGTATGAATTGGTTTGTCAATTACTGCCATGTTATCAATGAATAATTATTAACTAATTACTAATAATTAATAATTATTTATCCCTGCAGCGTATCAGAGCCTCTCCGTCATTACACGATCTCGGATGTTCTACCAAACAACCGTTTCGTTAACGACGCCTTCTTGCCTGACAACACACTGGCACAGATAGCCATGAATATTACTTTTTATCATTGGGGTAAGTTGTAGCCATGCAAATATTACTTTACATTATTGGGGTACGTTGTAGTCATGAGTATTACATTTTATTATTGGGGTAGGTAGTAGCCATGAAAGCATGAATAATACTTTGCATCGCTAAAGTGCGTCAAATTACGTTGATTTTCATTGTTTTGCACCATACTCGATCCATCACGAATATCCACATTTAAAACAGGTAGAGGTATACTAACACATAGTTGGTTGAATTTAATCTCAATTTAAGCACTGAATTAAACACGTACAGGTTAAGTACTGAATAGATTAAAACACGCACAGGTTAAGTACTGACTTACTGACTTAAGGCGGGTAGACGTGTTCCCGAGATCCATTGACAACAGTTCTCCACAGCTTTCTGTCCTCCATCAGTCTAGCTATCTCATCTACTGACTTCAGCCCAGTATCTGCTTTTAGGTTATCTAGTAGTGTTAAGTAAGGTCGCCCCCTGTTAGTATGCCCATGACTCGGCTTCCAGAGGATCAGTTTGTTCAGTGTCAGCTCCGGATGTCGATGAGCATGACCTGCAAGTCTGAGCCTTCGTTGGGTTATCTTGGAGCTGACTTTGGGAAGTTCACTGTACAGGCTGTGGTTGCTGACATGGTCTCGATATTGATTGATGTAAAGGGCCATTCTTAACATTCGCGTATAGCAACCATCAACCATCTTCTCTAAGTCTAGCCTTTTCGTCATAGTTCAAGTTTCGGAACCGTACAAAAGCACCGACTCGACAAGTGCTGTAAACACTCTGATCTTGATATACTTCCTAAGCTTAGAATTCCAAAGTTGTTTGCTCCCTGCAATCTGCATGCTCTTCCTTTCCTAACCCTGATATCACTCTCACTGTCTCTGATTCTAAAACCCAGGTAAGTAAAGTCTTCCACATGCTCTATTGTGCTGTTACCCAGGGACTTGATGGTACCAGGATTCTTGATGTTCTGAGTAATGAATTTGGTTTTACCTTCATTCATTCTAAGTCCCAACTCCCACTGTAGCAGCAACCCTTTCTGCCTTTTGCATCAGCGACTCTGCTTCCTTTACAGTATCCGCTATCAGAGCAATGTCATCCGCAAAACAGTGTCCGATATCTTCTCTGCCTTGACTCTCTACTCCTATAAGGCTTCATGGTAAATCCTATTTCAAGTAATGAATAGATTAAAACACGTACAGGTTGATGTCAGCATATACTCATATGTTGACAACAACAGCTGTACGTATTCTTCGTGATATTACGAAGAATGCGACTAATAAATAATTTGCCTCTATAACAGGAACACGTACAACAATGAAGCCTTTCTGACATTCGAATGATCATTGATCAAGTTTAAAACAGACAGATTAATTGTCATAATAACTTCAAACCTTTTAAGTATCATAACAGAGAACTGTTAACTTTATTTTAGCAATCAATAAAAATTATCTCCGCGAATATAATTAATGTTATTTATATTCAATATCAATTACCAGGTTTAGTAAACTGATCAGCACCAACCTTCAGAGTATATTTTCTAAGCAATTGTTCAGTAAATAAAGTATATTAGTTAATTTATTAAAGACGATTGGGGCTATTTGGTCATTACTTGATTTTATAAATTGATATATAAATCGATATAAGAATAAACGATAGCTGTTTACTAGAAATTTAATCGCAGGTTTGCACGCATGGGTTGTGTACTGCGTGGTTGGGATTATTTTGGCCTTTACCTCATTTAGATGGGACTTACCCTTGACCATGAAAAGTTGCTTCTACCCTCTCATCGGTGAACGAGTGAGTTTTATTTTGCTAATTCGGTCAATATTATTTATTCAACTTCTTATCAATTCTAGCCGTAATGTTATTCTGATCCTAAAATTGTTAATCTATTAAAACCTTACAGTTACAGGATCTCGGCTTTAATAATTTTAACTTTGTTTTCAGATATTCGGTTGGTTGGGAGACACTATTGATATTCTGTCTATTATCACTACCATATTTGGAGTGTGCACTAGTCTTGGTTTAGGAGCTATTCAAGTTAATGCAGGTACTTACTATTTCTATCATCAAAATTATATGTAACGCTTTCTGCTTCACGAAGCCGTTATCACCCCGCTTTTTAAGATTGAAATATAATTTTGACTAAGTTATAGTTTTTGAAATGCTTAATTTTAAAACTATCATCAATTGAATTGCGACGCTTTTATCATTTATATTGTTGATATTGGTTGCAACTGTATATTTATAGTGTAAAGAAAATAAATCTTTCGTATGCGATAATATGTGAAATATGATTAAATGCAATTGGCAAGTAAAAAAGCGACCGGCAATATAATATTACTCTCCTATTCTGGACTCATGATTTATAAGTCCGTCAAAAGCTTGTTTACTCTAAAAGTCTAAAATAACTAAATGACTGATCTGAGTCCTAATCACACATTTCTATTATATTAGTGAAGCAAATTTGGAGCTTTTATGGGACAGCCTGAGAAAATGTCTACATGATAATAGAAATAAAGGGGGGAACATATATAATCCTTTTAAGAGAACAGATATAATCCTAAGAGAACAGATATAATCCTAAGAGAACAGATATAATCCTAAGAGAACAGATATAATCCTAAGAGAACAGATATAATCATAAGAGAACAGATATAATCCTAAGAGAACAGATATAATCCTAAGAGAACAGATATAATCCTAAGAGAACAGATATAATCCTAAGAGAACAGATATAATCCTAAGAGAACGGATATAATCCGAAGAGAACAGATATAATCCTAAGAAAACGGATATAATCCTAAGAGAACAGATATAATCCTAAGAGAACAGCTCTTTTATTCAAATTTCTGATTGTTTCTGAATAGACTCAGTGAAGACAGATTCTAATGGAAATAAATAGCTGAATAACGTATCGACATTTCTACGAGAACGGATATAATCCTAAGAGAACGGATATAATCCTATGACTGATTGCAATTTATTATTCTGCAGGACTAAACTTCTTGATCCCGAGTATTCCAGTCCACACCCGGGTCCAGATGGGAATTATCTGGAGTATCACCTTCTGTGCTACCATCTCCGTAGTGAGCGGTACGTTTAAACCTTTAAACTTTAATATTGGTCGAAATAACCACGTTTTGTGTTCAGTATATTATGTAATGTTGGATAAGCACGGACTGCAGTGCACGGATTCGTCTTGCCAAATTTAGCCCTTCATCACTATATTTAATTTGTTTGTCCGACAGAGACGTTTTACTTGATTATTCTGTTTATTAGAGAAAAATATGTAATTTCCAGGAGAAGCAGGCCCTCAAGGTACATGACAGTACTAACGATGTTCATAATACCACAGTAACCTTATTTGCAGCTTCATGTCTTAATGTTGCCATAGTTACTACAGTAAAACCCCGATTTACCGCGGAGTTTGGGAGGAAAAAAACAACCGCAGTAAATTGGGGTTTGCAGTATATCGGGGTTTGCGGTAAATCGGGGTTTTGTTTGTTCACATTATTCTGCCGTTCCCTGGGGAAAAAAATTTGACATTTATGCATAAATAAATTGTCATATGTCCTAAACATGCTTAAAAGCATAAATTCGCCATACCAACACTGATGTATAAAAATAATTTTTCTCCAGAATAACTAAACTATTTTTCCATTTGCATTGAACTTGCATCCTTTTCTGAGGGAATTGCGGACTTTTATCAGATCGATTTCAAGCGATTCCTAAAGTCAACGCAACAAATTTCTATATTTTTGATCATATCTTTGCAATATAAATTTATAATTATGTCATGGGCCTCCTGTGCATTAAAAGTGAGTAATATTGACGAAAAATAGATAATTTATCGCTCAAAAAGCCTATAACTTCTTAAATATCGAATATTTTGGAATAATTTTTACAGCATAGTATTCAACTCGGTCAGACACATTAATTTAGGAAAAATATTTGAATATACAATACTTAAAGCAACAAATTTTTCAAAAATTTTTTCAATAATTCACACAAGAGACAAGAGGGGACCCTTGTGTTCAGGTTCAAAAATTTTGAAAATAATATTTCTTTTAATTTTGAAATATTAGTACCAACATTTTTTTTCTTGCTGAGCTGATTACGACCACATAGAAATTATTTCGATACAACTAAAACTGTGAAAGTTATAGGCCACAAACTATAAAAACTACAAATAAAGTCTAGACTTACTGCCTTTTCTCAGGGAACAGAAAACGTTCCCTCAGAGAAGTTGCTGTACAAATGTACTTATTGCCTTTTCTCAGGGAAGGTTTTGGGATAATGTGCTAAATTGTGAGGTTTTGTGTGACTTACTGCCTTTCGTGACAGCTAAAACAGTATTTTGATAACGTGGTTCATAGCTTAAGTTGTAGAGAACCTTCTCCTGAAAATGTGTGTACCAATATCTCAAATTTCGAAAAAATGGACTTACAGCATTTTCTCAGGCAGTATGCATGTTAAGCCCTATTTGGGGGAAGGAAATAGCCACGGTAAATCGGGGTTTGCGATAAATCAGGGTTTGCAGTAAATCGGGGTTTTACTGTATAATGTTACCATGGTTACTACAATGTTACTATAGTTACTATAATGTTACCACCATCATACTAACACTTCATGTTTTCAATTAATGTTTCAATTTCATGATCGTCAATCAAGCTGTCATGATATTGATAAATGTTTCCACAATTACATGTGTCATGGCCATAATTTGTGTTTCATAAAAGTGAACTCGTAGATCGCAGCTGTCATACATTTATAATCTCTTTAATGTTGCGCTGGCAGACTTTCTTAAATTTGATAACATATTTCAATATAAAAAGTGATGAAACAGTTAGATAAATTTAACAAAATGTACATTATAAAGTTATAAAGTTATAACAAATCACTCTCTCAGGATTGAGAAGGGGAATCAGACGGATAAGTCAAGCCAGTTTCATGATAGGGGTGTTCCTAATGTTGGTTGTCATGTTCCTCGACCAGCCTCAGTACATCCTCAACCTCTTCATTCAGGTGCTGGCTCAAAACTTTATTAGTCGAATTATTTGATTTTGACTTGGTCTCTGGTAGGGAGGGGCTTTTCATCTTAATTTAACGTATATACTATTTTAAACAAGCAATAAAAGGAATAAGATCAGTAGTCCCAGGTTTCATGAAATAGAATTACAGAGATGACAATCTACAGCTGTTCACATTTAATACTTAAGCTCTCACTTTCATCCACAAAGTTAAGCACTTTCTTAACTCCATCTCACTCTCAATACGCGAAACTATCCCGGATGAAGCACTCGCTCTTCTACATTCTACAAAGGTCCAGTGTTAGCATCTATGTGCGGCTTAAGATGCATCACCTGTTTCGTATCTCAAAATCAAAAAATACAGAGGCCGCGCATCAACAATTAATGAATCCAGAAAATTTAGGAAAATAACTTTGCGAAGGAGGGATTTCACTGTAAGTGTAATTAATTAACACATGGCTAGCGTCGCGCGCAGCATAACAGACGCTTCCTATACACATAATTATAGGGGAGTGCTCTATATTGCGAAGGAGCAGACTTTTGTCATCAACGCAGGGCCGTCGGGCCACCTCAAAAGCTCATATATCCAAACCCGATTACTTATTCCCTACGGTCTTTTTGCCTTCGGCAAGAGTAAGGGAAAAAATTAAAGCTGCCTTGTCTAGATCATTAAACTGCAATTTGTCCTGTTTGATATGAAATGTATTGATGTATTAGGGTCGAAAGAATCTCCCCTCGGTTCACGACGCCATTATCACCTCCTAGGAGCTGCTTTTAATTAATTCAGAACTCTGAGAATGTACAAACCTTTGAAATTTGAAAACAAAGGTGGGACTCTAGCTTGGTATCTGAAATCTGAATAAATCTGAATTAGTGGATAATGAAAGTTTATTTCAGTCGCTCGGATACTACATCCAAAACATCATCCAGCTTGGTACCCACACTGACGCCTTCGAACAAATGAGCCCCAGTCACGGATCTATAGACAGGGGAAGGTAAATATTGTTTTAACTATAAGAAGGGACGATAATTTATAACCTCGTACGGAGATTAATCAGACAAAACAAATGACCTTCAGAAACAAATAATCTTTCAATAGACAAAAATCAAATTAATTCATGTATTTTGGTCCAGGATAAAGTTTATATATCGTCAATGTTTCCTTTATTGCAGATTCTACAGAAGAAAAGGTCCATCAATGACGATTCGTCATTAGTAGACCTTTTTTCTGCAGAATTGGCAATAAAGGAATATCGTACAGATACATGCCGATCAGGGAGTTAATAATTCTAAGGAATGTCTAATTGCCTCTATGTTCTTCAGCTTCTAAGAAGTCTGCAGGCATTACTTTAAAAAAGATTTCAGCAGATTATGTAATTGATTAATTAAAGTTGCTCACAATAGTAGTGTAACTATGGTAACTAGTAGTGTAACTATAGTAACAATTGTGTGCTTAGAGTGGACTCCACCTCGGACGGAGAGAGCGAGTGGATGAACGAGTGGACAGTGTTCTACTGGTCCTGGTGGATAGCTTGGAGTCCTTTTGTGGGAGCTTTTATTGCAAAGATATCACGTGGCAGGACCATCAGAGAGTTCTTACAAGGTTCTCTCACCGCCCCAGTCCTGTTCTCGTTCTTCTGGATCACTGTCTTCGGGGGTTCAGGGATAAAGATGGAACGTGTCGCTGCTCAACATGGGCTCTGTTGTCCTAACTGGAACGTCGCGAAAGCTGAAATTGCCATGGGGGATAATCGTAAGCTTTGTAATTTTTGTCGTTCTATTTTGAGCCCTTTGCCTCTGTATTTTTGGAGAAATTTGACGTTATTATTATAAAATTAGAAATGATTTTTGTTAGATTGAGAGGGATTTTTGTGTATTTTATTTGTCGTGCAGTCAGATTTTACCGAGTCTAATATTATTATGTATCAATTTTTCAGTAATATTGGGTGACAAAGAGCAATGGGGTGAATATATATGCGCAGAAGGGGGTTGCAATCCCTGCTCGACGGGAATTATCAACAAAACTGAATTCGACTTTGCTGATTTGAAAGACAATGTAAGCTCCCACATCATTCTCTGGAGATATATAGAGAAAGCTGAGAGAGCTCAATAAGTTTTCATTCATAATGTTGGTTCTTTGCATGTTAACATTACTTGGACGTAACCACCCTAGTCATTTAATAGATATAATAATCAGCAGTATAACCAATTGATAACGACACATATCATTACTCCCTCAGATAGACGGAACAAGATTGTACGGATCAACACTAAAGCTCAACAACCAGCAGATAACGAGACTATCTTGTCACGACAAGGAGGCTATGTGGTTCCTGCTCATGGCATCCTACGGAGACATCTACGGTACTGTTCTCTCGGTGGTATCCATGATAGGACTGTTTTTGTACCTTCTAACTAGCAGTGACTCTGGGTCTCTTATAATCGACACTCTGGCTAGCAACGGTGATAACGTGAGTCTCACAGATAGACCGTTCAAATTGGATTTTGTCAACTTATTAATGCTTCAGTGCCATTTCGTATTGTATTTCATCCCTTTAATTCGTGATGAATGATAATAATTAGTCCCGCCACTTTCAAAGGTTCGGGGTCCACTGTTTTGATGAACTTTCAGGGTCCACTGTTTTGCAGATGACCTTACCGGAATATCAATTAATAATCTCAAATTTATCTTCTTTTTCAATTTGGCAATCTTGAATCTTCAACCTTAAGTAATATATAACAATATATAACAGTAATCAGTGTTGTAATTATGTTCCTTCGTACTTATCTACTGACTAATTTGTACCTTGGCAGGAACCACCAGTTTCACAGAGAATATTCTGGGCGATGGTGGAAGGGGCCTGCGCAACCTCCCTCCTCGCAGCAGGCGGTGAGTCAGCTCTAGTGGCCATCCAGACCGCTAGTATAGTGGCTGCCTTCCCCTACACTCTCATTCTTAATATATTGTGTGTGTCGATATACGTGGCACTTACCAAGGACGCAAGGATCGCGGAAGGGGGTGAGAATTACGAGGACCCTGCCTTCTCTATAGGTTTACTGGATTTCGTCACCACATGGCAGGTAATAAAGCCTCACCATAAGTTGAGAATTTTATTCTTAAATTTAGTCCAATTGAACATTTGTCTGACTGTGTACGTATATAAGTTTACGAAGTAACATATCGTTTGTTGAATTGAGAGACGTCACTACCTACTGCATTATAGAGTGGGTCCTATGAAAATACAGACTTCACCAAATTGAACCCAACAGCCGAGGTTGATGAAAGAGACGCTGAAGAACATATTCCTTGGACCGTACAACTGCGGCAAGTGTCTGGCTAGAATCAACGGGAACGACCACGCTTTCGTGTGGCAGGTAACAAGTGTAGTTGTCATGGTAACTAGTGTAGTTGTCATGGTAACTAGTGTAGTTGTCATGGTAACTAGTGTAGTTGTCATGGTAACTAGTGTAGTTGTCATGGTAACTAGTGTAGTTGTCATGGTAACTAGTGTAGTTGTGGCAGGTACAAGAAATCTAAATTTTAATCAGTAATCACACCCCGAAACTTATGCCTCCTTATATATTATTCAGTTATTTCAAATATTTATTTTAATTTTCAGTGCAGTTAACTTTAAGTTATCTATCTGGGTATTGCCTAATCATGAAACTTTCCTGTAACAATTTTTAAATTTAATCTTGTTGGTATTTACTGACATTCCCCCGCCAGATCACCCTTTCCATCTTTCTGATTGGGTTACCTGTCTTCTACGCGATAGAGATACAGTTCGGGATACCAGGTAGTTCCTCCATTGCCTGGACCTGCTACCTCGGCTTCGTGTTCTACGTCACTGGGGCACGAGTGCTTCTCAGAATAGCCTGCAAAATCCCTGGCAACTTGATAGCAGGTCAGTCATAATTGGGGTTTTTAGGAGACACTCTATAATGTTTTATTGTTAATATGTACTGGGTCAGGTGGACTGATAATACTAATAACGGCCCTTCTTTCATCGGAATATTAAATTTCAAAACGTGATCTGATAACTGATAACATTAATGGTTCAAATCAATGACTGACACTAGTAGTCCAGTCATGAACAACCAAAAACGCTCAGAGGTCCTACACTCTACAGACTTCTGGGTGGTCTTAGACAAAACCGAATCTGCTAATTTATTCACAAGTTATCAATAAACATATTGCCTAAATATGGCAATAAACAGAAAAAGTTAACGAATGTTTTATTAAGTAATCGTATTACTAAACATGTTTATTGATAACTTGTAATTAAATTTGCTTCGTTTAAGGTCACAAAGAAGTCTTTAGGGTATTTATTAGCTGAGATAACTTGCACCTGAGGGTGAATATATGGCCCACTGGTGACTGGGTTATCCCCATGATACAAAATTATAAGTCTCAGAAGTATCAGAGAATTTGCAGGTTTAGAGCCGATTATGTGCATAAATAACTGGACACTTAATTTTAAAGATTTAGGAGAATTTTATTATGTTTTTGCCAGAAAACATCGTACAGTAAGTTTAAAGCTAATAACAATGTTCCACAGATTTCATAATCTGTCTGTTCCTGTGGCCGACAGTAATCGTACAGATGACTGAACACATTGCTGGTGGTGCACTGAACATCGTCAACAAAAGTCCGGATCACGATAGCTTAGACTCCAGATTGGACAAGGGCAGCGTAGACTCCGAATTGGACAACATTGCCAAAGTTTACGCCGGCTTCGGAACTCAGAATAATGACGATTCCAAAGTTTAGATCAGAAATGTTTTCTAAAGCTGCCACTGAACTTGGAGGACTTCGCCGCTTCGACGCGCCGCGCAAACTAGCATTCTTGCTTCGCAATCGTTGCTTTACAGAGCAACGATCTGGAAGGGTTGACATCGTCAATCAACCACTGAACCGGCTGTAATTTCAACTTTTAACGCTGGAGAGTGAAACTTGAACGCATGTGGTTTATCAGTATTATTTTATGTGCGATACTTTATATTTTATGCGACAAAACTTATCACCAAACGTTAGTTCATGTCTGTTGCTACTTGTCTGACTGAGCTAATCAATTTTATAAAGCACATTTTCATGTTTTAGTCCGGGTTTAACTCGGATATGTTATGTACAATCAGCATGTTAAAAGATATCATGTCGGAAATCAAAGACTGTATTATGTCTGACTGAGAAATGAGAATACTTTACATTTTAAGATTCATGTTTCTCGAAACGATTTGCCTTTTTTCTCTTTAAGTTCTGATCACTAATTGAATTGAAAAAAACTTTCTTAAGGTCGAAAAATATCAAAATTGGTACAAATAAATCTTTATATCACATTCCCTCCTATCAAATATCTGACCGAATGCTATTTTAGGTCGTCAAGCCAGTTCAAATGGCGTAAAACCTTTTCTTTCTCGCAAATTTAAAATTTCGCCAAAACCTTCAGCGTCAAACTTATGCTCCTAGAATATTCGGCACATCCTCTATATAATACTCTTTTATTTCAACATCGCTGCAAAAAAACCATGCATTTAAAGTCAGATATCAGCATTTAAAGTCAGATCTCTAACACTACTGAATAATATCCTACCCTAAGAAGGACTTGTATCACGTTGCGACCCCCACGGTCGTTTCACTATGTGTATCGGTCGTTTCACTATGTGTATCGTTTCACTATGTGTATCGTTTCACTATGTGTATCGTCCTGACGATACAGGGGGAGCCAGGAAGGACCCAGTTAGATTGGGTTATTGTACTCATTCCCGTCATCGTGAGCTGCGTAATTAACCTTCACATCAGCTGGGCTTACAGTTACACTGCTCTTGGATGCCTCCCCTATTACGTACACACGGCTGAAAATAATCCACATGATTAATTAGCTCTCTCGAGAAATTAGCATAACTTTTGTATTTAAAGTTGCTATGCAATATGCATATAGCATTTTGCATCTTGAAAAATCACCATCAACTTTCAACGCCAACTACTCGATGAAAACTACTCAACCAACAAGCTACAGCCACACCCACCACTTACCGTCCACTAATAGCCTGCTTGATCTCCTCCCAGGTCATGTGTTTCCACACCCCGTACACTGCTATGGGGAGCACACAAGCTACAATCATCAGACCCCCCACCGCTCGGGCCCAGCCTGGCAGCGGCTTATCAACAGTGAACGTCATCGTCTTGTTAATGTTCAGTGCTGCGTCGTCCTGCAAAGTGGTACTGTTGGAATATCAGGGCGCACCTTTATATCTCCTTTAACTGATGCAGGTCTTCTGTAAGTACATAGTTCAATTAAACTTAAAGTTGTATCTTATTATAGCCGATTCAAATTGAAATGGTGGTTTAAAATCTCTGCACTTACCGGATTGCAATTTACGAACGCCTGATAAGTATCCACGGAAATAATAGAGGAGACCATCAGCCACACCAGTAGAACCACCATTATTGCAGGGGATACATACTTTATGCAGATCTTGAAGTACAGCGGGCATGGTGCTCCTGTCATGTCTATTATGGCTTTATCGAAACTGAGATTTTCAGATGAGTTGGTGATTAGGTATTACACACTAAATTTCTCCCAAAATATTTTCATACTGTGTAATTGATATGAGAATTGAGAACTTATGTAATTGATATGAGATCTAGGTATTATATACGAGGAATGCATTGTGGGGTCAGTGTGAGGTGATGTAACCATGGTAACAGTATTCTTTAGTTTCTTACTTGTCTATGCCGAATATCCAACCAGTAGCTACGATCTCTGTAATCCCCACCACTAGCAGGGGCATTGTCACCGGGAAATTGTTGAACAACTGCAAGGTGTATTTATCTTTATTAAGTTATTAGACGATACTTTACTCATGTGACTCAGATTATGCAGTTAATGTTATGTGTTCACTTTCAGTTCTAAACACACAAGGTTTTAAAATTATTGAATTACAGATAAAAGTTTAAGAGTCCCGAATCTAGTTAGCAGTTTCCACTTTGTGGCGCTCAGATGTAAAGTCTAACCTGTAACATGTATTCTCCGTTACCAGGTGTGAATAGTAAGCCTATCAGGCAGAAAAATATCGCTAAAATAGCAACACATAGCTCTTTTCTCGCTTTTCCGAAGAGTTTCAGATCATTATACAGTGGGGTTACCAACCCTGCTAAAGTCCCTGCAGTATAATGTATAATGTATAATGTATAATGTATTATGTATTATGTATTGTTTCAGATCATTATACAGTGGGGGTCGCAATAATAATAGAAATTCTAAAATGTATCACCAAGTTACCCCAAACTTACCAAACTGGCTGCTGATACCCAGATTGAAGAGCATAAAGAAGAAAACAAAAGCAAAGAAGGGCGTTCCGTTCATCTGAGTAACGGCCTCGGTTATCGCAACAAAAGTTAGTCCCGACCCAGCGCTCACGTCATCTATTGATACCCCAGTCTTAAACGATCTGAATCCCAGGATGGAATAGATACACAATCCGGCTAAAACCTGCCAATAAAATGTCGATTGAAGTTGTCTATAAATCAGTTGCCGGGGGGATTTCGTCAAGTTTAAAATATAATATAGATAATATTAAATGCAAATAAAACTCAACCCACCGATGTGAAAGAGTTGACTGTTGCTACAAGTATAGCATCATGAGTAATATTATTCTTGTAAGGCATGAAAGAAGCGAATGCGACAAGAGCTCCAAAACCCAGGCTAAGAGAGAAAAATGTTTGTGTTGCTGCGGAAATCCAAACGTTTGGATCTGCCAACCTTTCCCACTGAAATACGATAATTTTACCGTTAAACTGCAGTCAGAATCTGAGTAGATATGAATGATTCGTATGTTAATTCATGGATTTTCTTTAACAATAACTTTGGAACTGTAAAATAAGGTTTAAGCGCCGTCCTAAAATTTGCTTTGGAAACAACACTTCAAACACACCTGAGGAGTAAAGAGAGCTTTGAGTCCAATTTCAGCACCCTCTAGTGTTACCCCTCTTATCAGTAAGATAATGAGACAAGCGTAGGGAAACGTTGCCGCGAAATACGCTGCCTGTAATTGAGTGGTTAGAAACAGCTGAACCATTCTCAGAAAGCGTTTTAGAGTTTGATGGGAGATTTATAAATATCATAAACTTTATCTATTTGGGGTTAAACTTTAATTATTTGAAGCCGAATGACCTGTTACTGTGTATCAACAAGAGGTGTTACTAAATTCAGCTATACAATAATTAAGAATACTTTTCATTATTATATAATTTGCTTTCGAGGAAATCGTCTTTGCTTCTAGCAATCAAAATCGATTTACTGTTAGAAAGATCTCTTAGGTGTTAGATTCATTTTACCTTTCCAGTGCTCTTCACGCCTTGGAACACGCACAAATACGTAACTATCCACGCCAAAATCAGAAAGATGACTAAATGCCATGCTGGACCGTTTCCAGTGTCGTCAATTGATGGTGTCGCCTGAAATTTAAATCAAGTTAATGGAAACGATGAAATGGATTTTAAGGACCATTTAGATATCTTATGCACGACAAGATCCATTTAGAAGGGAAGCATATCCAACCAAATTTGCTAATGTTGTTTCTGGTCACGAAGCAGTTATTTTAACTGAGAACATGATTGGTTTGTTGTATTTCTTTGTCTGGGTAGAGTGTTCCTACTCTATATACCAAAACGGTAAACGTGACTATCATCGTGAGTCTTTGGTTGATAGTAATGTCGACCAGCAAGGTTTTTCAAAGTCCGCAGAAGAGTTCCTACCATTACCTTCAAGATTAGAAGATGCTCCTGCTGATCCCACCATTCCCTTTAACTTTAGGAGAGAAATGGAACACGTTAACTTCCCTGACAAAGGGGAAGTTTTCTATACCTTTGCTCCGGGTAACCGGCAGCGGGAACAGCCCCCCTTAACCTCTGCTCCGGGTAACTGGCAGCGGGAACAGACACCCTTAACCTCTGCTCCGGGTAACCAACAGCGGGAACAGACACCCTTAACCTCTGCTACGGGTAACCGGCAGCGGAAACAGACACCCTTAACCTCTGACTCCCGGCAGCGGGAACAGCCTACCTTAACCTCTGACTCCCGTGACTTCACAGCGGATGAAATTGGAACTCAATTTACCCCAACATGGGCTAGAGTAACTGGAGAATACTATATATATAGAGCGGATGTTGCTGCAGTTGCTGAGATGAAACGAGATTTAGGAGCTTCCGACAGTCATCCAAAAGAATTTCCTTTAATACAAACTAGCAATGTGCATCCCATTGTGGCTGTAACCTCACAACTCATTAAGTTTCAGTTCTGCTTATTTGAGAACGATGACATGCCAGAAACGAGGATATGCGATCAACAACGAGAAATGGAAAGTTTTGGATATAATCCAGAGACTGAAGTATTCCCCTCCCACAACCTTCTCGATGGAGACACGAAGACCCTCTGCTCACTTCTTGGATCAGATGAGGCTCCCACCTGGATTGCTTTAATCTTACCAGATAATATTTACATTGGTCACGTGATCATGCATGTAAGCAACTCTGTCAGCGGAGGGGACAAATCTCGTTTGATCGACCAGCTTCGAGTGTCGCTGGAATGGTTTGATATGAGAATAGCCTGTGACCCGGTTGATTATGAATCGAAAATGTCAAGATTGACCGATTATGAGGGTGATTATCAGTTGACAAGCTCTTGCGGTGGCTACATTGCTAGCAGAATCTTCATTCAAATTGATAGATACAAGGGAAAATCCGTTCCGATAAACCTAACCCTCTCCGAGATTGAAATCAAGGGAAATCCTAGTGGCCATCCAAGACTTTCCATTAAGTCTCCTCCTATGAACTTCAACAATTCTGTTGCAAACATTTACTTCAAAAGTAACTCGAAGACTTTCATGTCAAAACAGCACGAGGAAGGGCTAAAGATCGAGGGACAGGATCGATCAAACATAGAACATGTCCTTGCCATTTCTATAGATTCTTCCAAATCTAAGGCAGCTGTTTACCCTATTACAAAGTTGCTCACCCTCGGATACCATAATGGTTTGGTAAGCGTTTCGTTGCAGGGTTGTGGATCTTTTAAGGAACTTCAAACAACAATCTTTGATGCACCTCTGTGCGTTAGTGATGAAACACTGCCCCCTTGTTCATGGAGTTTAGCATTCTTGGAAGAAACATTGGTAGTTTACGTCGATAAACGTCTTGCAGGAATTTTCACTAACGATGCCGTTGACAATTGTTCGGATTTTCTTGATTGCGCTAATTACTGCCGGGACATCTTCAGGCAAGGTATTGCTATCGCCTATTATGGAACCATGTTCGAGATTGATGTCATGGAGGTCTGGGACAATATAAGGAAGCCGAAAGTTTTATCTAGCAAGATCGACAGGCATGATTTCTGTTATCGCGAAGAAAGAACCGTGATTGGGAACTGCTTCTCACTGCTTACCGAAACGCCACAATTTCTCAATACGACGTCTGGTACTTTAGTCTACGGTTTCGAGGCTCTAGGTGTTTCCGAACTGCTCGAGGAAGAGTTCATGGACACTTACTCAGACGTTCTGACGAATAAAATAATTAAAGGTAGTAGTCCTAGACTTTATATGGACTACTTCGAGTCTGCCGAATACCTGCAAGAAGTAGAAGATGTCTTTGCTGATAGACTGCAGACTAAGGGAATGTTAGAATCCACGGAGCGCTTGATAATAGATCAGACAAAGAGGCACAGCACCATATACGAAAACCTTATTCTCGATCACATGGACAAGTTGATCTTTGAAATGAGCATGTTCTTCGATGAAATCTGGATGATCACACGGGGGCTGTTTCCAGTTTCACCACCTAACGAAACAGGTGGTCCCTACATAGAAAATAAGCAAGAAGCGATGGGTCATGCTTCACAAATGCTTCTACTGATGCAGCAGAGAGTTGTGTACGGGGATGTAGCACGTAACATGGATATGTCTGGTGAGAGAGCTCAACCAGAAAGGGAACCTTCCGATGAAGTCAGTAACGAGAATGATACCCCTTATCGATTTGACGTTTTCATGGAAGAAATAGGTCTTGATTTTATTTGGAATGATATTGGAACCGTATATGTTAAGTCTTAAGAACAACATAATCACTGTTTAAAATACATGTCCAACCATTACTGACAGCTTGTGCCATGTCCTTCTCCCGTTTATTGAGAATGCTATCTCAAATGGGACATGGCAGGAACGCTATCTCAAAATGGCAAACATCTTTATTGATACGGTTGAAACTACAGTCTTGGATGTTCGCATACAAAATGTATATTAGTTAGACATTATTGACTAAATTATAAGTAACATTTAATTAAGTGAATGGCTTAGTAACTTAGTTGGAATAATCTTATTCCTCAAAATACTGCCAGCTACATAGTTTTCATGATTCTCTACGTCAACGAATGTGTATAGTTTTACAGCGATTTATTTACTTATTATATTTTATATTACATCTTTGTCGCATAGCAGCGGGTAATAAATACTTTGTTTCGTTTCATTTCGTATCATTATGATTATTCATCGTCCTTAAAAATAAATAAACATAACTGCAACCTTGCCTTTAATTAATAGATAGTTCAACCAACAAAGAATAGAAAAAATAAATAAATAAAACAAGCAAACTTAAACTAGAATAGAAAACTAAGCTTTAAAAAAAAGAATCTGCATATTACGCCCATCACGTACCTTGATAACGACAGCATATCAGTAGTATGACGTCACACCACGTGTCATGACGTCACACCACGTGTCATGACGTCACCACACTACCAGTACCTTACGTACCTTGAGAACGACAGCATACCAGTAGTATGACGTCACACCACGTGTCATGACGTCACACTACGTATCATGACGTCACCACACTACCGTACGTACCTTGAGAACAACAGCATACCAGTAGTATAGAGTTTTATCATAAGTACAGCATACGTCATCTGTATAATCACACCCTGCATAAGGTGGAGTCCTGAAAACATAATTGTTTAGATTGGATCGTTTGATTATTCATCGTTGTCTAAAATATAAAAATACTGCAACAGAGCCAAGTAAACTACTTCAAACCAACAAACTAATAGAGTACATGACGTAATACACAGCAACGTTACACACTGAATGACACAGTAAAAAAAGATCTGATTTACGGTCCTTAAAGAGAACCAGTAGTATGAGTCCAACACTGCATGACGTAAGTAGTACAGAGTAAACACGGTATCACCACACAACTGTCATGACGTACACACTATTTGTGACTTTAGAAGACAATATACGAAGTTGAATATCACAGTTTTATATGTACTATTACGATATTGTATAATCAACGGGTGATAAAAAAAAATGGGACGTTTTTTTAATGGCATTTTTTGGGGGCCTCAAAATTTTACTAATTTCGTACAATGCATGATAACCCGTGTATATACAATTGAGGACAACTGTTTTTAACCATAGGATATAAGTCAATGGTACAGAAAGAGTACACAACACACCTGTTGAAGATATTGTGATTATGTATAAGATAACTTATGTTTGTATTTATAGGGCGATATATGGTGCTGGACATATACAATGTCTACATTGGTACGAGTACCAACGCCCTTTAGACTTGGATAAGTTATTTGTCATCCAAGATCACGACCACCTTGCTTCCTCTGAATGTATGTCCTAATATGAGCCTACGTTGTGCTTCAAGCAAGTACACAACCCACGGTGATCATGACAGTCCAAATGGTCACCACCGATGTACTATGACGTCCAAGACACCAACGTTAGCATGGATAAAGTACTTATTGGGTATTTCTCAATCGGCCAACGCTTTAGACTTGGATGTATTTTCTCCCAAGACACAACGCTTCCTCCTCTGAAGTATTGTCCTATAGCCATCTCCACATACATCATGGGTAAACCTTCTACTAGTAGCATGATGAAATAAGGGATAAGGAATGCACCTGAAACGAAAAATAACCTTTTTAAGTATATTTATAAATATATTTATAAGTATATTTATAAGTTTATTTATAAGTATATTTATAAGTTCATGGTGTTTAATCATGATTAGAATTTTGTTAATGAGTCTGAAGCAAGGGTGTTTCAGAAAACTAATCGAGTGAGATAACTTTTTTAAATCTCGAAGATATTATGGCATTGAAGTCATATAAGGTGACTTGGTTCAATAATAGAATATGTAAACAGATAATATATTATAAACAAATTCAAAACCTCCGCCGTTTTTATGAAGAAGATAAGGGAATCTCCACACATTACCCAGGCCCACAGCGAGGCCTATGCAGGCCAGAATGAACTGAGTTTTGTTCCCCCACGCCTCCACCTCTTCTTTGGGCCCATCGTCTCCATTTTCTACCAAAGATCCTTTTCTTATCTCGATATCAATGGATTCTTTAGCTTTTGTCATTTTCTCCTGTCCTGATTTGGGCAGTTTCTTTATAATTTCAACTTACTGAGCTCATTAATTCATTAAAAATGTAAGACTAAGCGTTATAATAAATCAATGAAAGAAATCGATGGTAGACTCTAGATCATATTATTATTAGCGAAGTCGACTAAAATCCAATATGTTGTTGTGCTAAAAGTAGCATAAGTCGTTATGTATGGTCAGCACTCAGCAGGCATGCTTGAACGTGATCGTTGCTTCGTGGGATTATGGGACGTTTAAATCCCTGGAAGTTTTTAGGGCACGCTTTTAAGGACGTGCCTCGAATATCGTTTATTTTCCCTTTAGAGTGTAACCCTTAAAGTAAATTGCTAGGTTCTCGTTTGAAAAATAAATACATATAATTATTAAAAATGTATCATGAAACGAAAATAGCAACATTAACGAAAAACAAAAATGTCAGACTTTCTATAGAAGAGATATGAGAGTAAAAATTGTTTCTTAAGAAAGTTCTGCCATTTAATATCTAGAGCCATCTACGATTTAAAAGGATATTAGTATGGTCATGTACCTAATAATATATCGTCATCGGTCGATTAAAAGGCTGGTTAAAAGATATGTTGAATAATACCATCAGTGGTTAACACAAGCAAACGACAGCATATCAGTAGTATGACGTCACACCACGTGTCATGACGTCACACCACGTGTCACCACACAAGCCATAGTTTATCATATAAGTCTTTAATAAAAGTAAATTTACTGTAGTTATTATCATACTCATATAACAAACTGTGCTTGTATTGTTTAATATTCGTTTCAACTAGCCTTACAACTTGTATAGCCTTGCAAATAACCTTTCAATGGACCGATAAAGAAACATGTTCAAGATCACCACACCTAGCAAATAAAACTGCAAAATCTGAACTTGTCCGTACAATATCAGATATTAGTGCGAATCCTTTTTTAATTATAGACGATTTGATGGTACATGGATCTGGGTAACGTTTAGTTATCTGTTATCTCCTCAGATTGGATGATTCGATTAGATCCAGTTGTCCCTGAGGAGTCAAGTGATGATGCACTAGACTGCATACCGACCAGTTCTTGATGACGCATTTTTGAGACTGCGTCACACCACACTAATTACTGCATAATTGCATCACGCTTAATAACACGTGTTAAGAGGATAAAATGATGAAAATGTTAACAGTATTCCGTCAAATATTGTTTCCCTAATTTCAACGCGGGGGTCGGGTGTGGACACCGACAATGGTGCTGATAACGAATAAGACTGCGATTAGGAGAGCCTCGCAAATTTAGAGAGCTGAACTTTGTTGTGGTTGTTGTCCAATGAAATCGAAAAGAGGAATTTGATCCCGTTACCAAGTTATTAACAAATTTTAACTGTGAATGATAATGAGGTTTTGCTGCTAGTTCAACAACGTGATATAATAACGTCTCACGCCCGCTAGATAATTCGGTTTAAAGGTTACAATCGGTGCTGCAACACGGACAATTTTACATTATCATTTCTGGTCGGACTCAACGGATTTTTGTCATCAGCTGCTCAACAGGGAGCACTTGTGACATAAATTGAATGAAAAAGCACAGAAAAAAAGAAATAGAAACAGCAGCGCAGATATCGAGAAGAAATCTGGTAACTGAACTTTTTGTCGGCCGTATCTTAACATATGTGCTTAGAATCTAATTTCATTCTACTTAATAATAATATGGTTATGATTAAACAATTCTATCTGGCAATCTATGGGAATCCACTCGACTGTCAAATGGAAGTGTTTAATCATAACCATATTCATTATCCATAAATAATAAAACAACTGTTCCATAACTCTTTGGTGTCAAATTTCGTATTTCAAGATAATGGTATAATTTGTAAAATGTTGTCTCTTTTAAAATCTGAAATTGTCAGAATGCGGAAATAAAGTCGAATGTTTCGAAAAAAAAGAATGTTAAATCGGGGCGCGGTAAATCAGGGTTTTATTGTATTAATAAAGTGTGTGGCTGTAGAGGAGGACATGAGCAAGAAAGTAATTGTGTTTGGGTCATCAAAGAAGAAGAAAAACAGCTTTCAGCTTTGGTAACCGTAGTTTTGAAAGAGATCGCGAGAAAAACTCATTTTGAAGCCATATTCTACCAAAGTCCATGCTGAAGAGGCTATCCGACGACATGATCACCATCCCGAGCTCAACGGCATTTTATTAGATTCTGATGAAAACAGGGAGACTGAGGCTAGTTGAGAAGAGTGAAGAGCGTGCAGCGATAAACTAATAAAGCATCTGGTAACTAACCTAAAGAAGAAGATGGCTGAAAAAACTCACGCACCTCGACCACTTCATCTGGTACGTACGGGTCTTTGACTTAAGTACAATTCATTATTTTATTCCTAGCGTGCACGTGATAGAATTGAGGCTGTGGGGTGTGGGCGGCTTGGATAATTTCAATTCTATTCACTCACGTACTTCATTACAAAATTATATGTGCATTTATCTGAGAATTAATTAGGGCAAATTTTCAATTATGTCCTCTCTAATGAAATTTGACTTGAAGGGCAGTATTTATCTTGAAGTGACGAAGAGGGTTGAGTCGACTGATAAATAGGCTATTTACCAGTCTAGATTATACTTAGTAGCGGTGGATGTATGTCTCTAATTCACTCCGTTATCATTTATCAACCTTATCCTAAAACTTGAATTTAATGTTAGTTTTTGGGCTATCTTAACCTAAATTCTAATTGTAACTCTCCCACTTGTAAACCTACATTGATTCAACAAACCTGGTTCACTTTGGGAGACCAAAGATAGAGACTTGGGCCAAGCTGGAGCCTCATTATCGCCTTCCTCCCACTTGTGCATGGACAGGGGTCCAACGTTCATTTTATTCTGTAATATTTAAAACCCTGGTTTAATATATTCACAAACCTTAAGTGGTTATTTGTTAAAGCTCATTTTAATTGACGACAAATGATGTTAAGTTATGTCACGTCAACTTTAAGTTTAAGTAAAAATGGTGAACTCTAAAACAATCGTTTAATTTATAACGTATATAAATACGATAAAACGGAACACACTAGAAAAGGAATTTATTAAGCGATTCATCGTTAAAATCTCGTCGAACAGAAAATGTAATTTACCGTTTGTTAAGATTTATCTCCAGGCTGCAGTTCTTAAATAACCCAGGGATAAAAATTCGCCGCCCCTCTTTTCAATTAAATTTGAATAGGAGTTAGGTTATGAATTATAAGGCTGTGAAATTTGGTAACTTGATAAATCTTATTCGACACAGTTCATATCACATGGACATTTTATGTTTTGCACATTTTGCCAGCACTAAGCGCTAAAATCTAATAATTACGTTCTTCCCTATTCCATCGTATAAGAGTGGCAATCTTCTTACGGACCTTTTTTATGGAAGATTACTTGTTCCTCGGGGTTCCTTGCCCCAATTTTCGCAACGTAGCAGGTGTTAAGGTGATTATACACATTTTTAAAAAACATGTAAAATATAATTTGGAACATTACAGTAGCGTTATTCAAATCTCAAACAGAAAAAGTATATTTTGAAGCTTTGTGTTTTTATCATATGATCGAGGGTGTATAGTGATTTTGATTGCATAATTTTGATTGGGCGTCCGTGACTAACTTGTCCGGACAATTAATATGTCCAATAAGGTATGTCCCTTGTCTAAGAGTATAAGACACGGATAACACACAGGGGTTATTTAGCGCGCGCAGGCACGTAAGGTACGTAAGGCACGGTTAAACCACTGATCTTAAGCAGAGGCACATATTAGGTGCGGTAAAAAAATCGAAATTATGCGGTACCGCACCCGACTATAAAGGTAAAATGTGCGGTAAGGTGCGGTAAATTTTTATCAATTATGCGGCAAATGTGCGGCGATTTTTTTGAAATTTGTGCGGGAATTGTGCGGATTTTTTTGCATTTTCTCAAGGACTTTGGAAATTCTAAACGTATAACCGCCGCTCTTATCAAAAATTGGTCTGTTTATGTGTTACTGAGGGTGTAGTTCTTTAATAAGACCATGATTGAACCTATATTGAGATTCAGTTATCTGAGAACAGTGACTTGATCTGGTAGAGATCAGGAATCAGGATACAGTTATTTGAAGACGCCTCTTGATAGAGTCGATCAGATCCCATGCGTGATCGCAAATATGTGACACGCTTATTGGCATTGATCGTCAGTATTTGTGAACCATTTGATCCAAGATCCATTAAGCCCAATACAAAGCCAACGCTGCAACGAATAAAGCTCATTACCCTTTACACCTACTTCTTCTATTATCACCTACTATACGAATGATAACTGATACACTATAATCAAGGTACGGTAACGACGAGGGTTCCATAATGGCCTGGATCACAGTCCCGAAAGGACCTGGGTAACGGTCCCGAAAGGGCCTGGGTCAGGGTCCCGAAATGGCCTGGGTCAGGGTCCCGAAAGGGCCTTGGTCAGGGTCCCGAAAGGGCCTGGGTAATGGTCCCGAAAGGGCCTGGGTCACGGTCCCGAAAGGGCCTCGGTCACGTGGTAACCGGGTCACGTGACCTAAGCATGAGTTCCAAAAGGGCCTGGGTCACGGTCTCGAAAGGGCCTGGGTCAGGGTCCCGAAAGGGCCTGGGTCACGGTCCCGAAAGGGCCTGAGTCACGTGGTAACTGGGTCACGTGGCCTAGGTATGAGTTCCAAAAGGGCCTGGCCCCTGGGTCACGGTCCCGAAAGGGCCTGGGTCATGGTCCCGAAAGGGCCTGGGTCAGGGTCCCGAAAGGGCCTGAGTCACGGTCCTAAAAGGGCCCGACTTTTAACATATTTTGGTTTTTAAACTCGAAAATCTTTACGCGAAAATTTCAAAATTATGTGAAATTACGCGGAAAATGCTAGATTATGCGGAAATATGCAGATAATTACAAAATGTGCGGAAATGTGCGGAAAACAATAAATTATGCGGAAGTGTGCGGAAAACGGTAAATTGTGCGATCCCGCACCCATCGCACCTAATATGTGCCCATGATCTTAAGTGCATTTTATTCATTCCACTATAGCTGTAATCTGCCTGTACCCTAGCACAGGGCTTCTATGTTCTATCTTTTAGTAAATACCTTGACCACAGCCCCTGCAAAGAAGGATAAGATAGTTCATAATACGCTAAGATGATGCAACCACATTATCTTAAACGGTCTTGCCGGCAAGCTCCCCGCTGACACTTCAGATTCCTACATTATAAATATCTCCGGGATTTCGACGCGGGCTCATATTATCACTCAGCCCGGCCCGCTGTTAGATAAACATCTCAAGGTGATATCATCCCGCCCCGGAAATTTGTATAAACCCGGCCCGCTTTTTAGTCGTAACTGATGTTTATCATTCAATTCTCCGACTTACAATAATCAATGATACTGCTGATTAGAACTCGATAATAGTAGAACAGTTAGACGCGCGATCACGTGGGCGCGTCACGTGCGTACCACGTGCCACCAATAGCATACGCCGAGTCTATACCACGTGACACGAAAGCGCACCACGTGATATAAAACATCGTAACCGTCCACTTCTTTTACACGCAAATTCCTGGGAACGTTGCCAAAGCAGCTAATTCTTGGAATTTCTCCAACGCGTGGCGTGAGAAGTTGGCGACTAGCCAGCTACCCTTGTCCGTGCCCTAAAAATAGTATTGTTTTGCTTGCTCTCCTTCCAGCTCTTGTTCCTGCTAACGTTCAAGCTATTGCTCCACTATGACAGATCGGTTTGACATTCAGATTGATGAACTGCTTTCCAATCGTGTTCTAAAGTATAAATCCCTTGTCGAAATCGCCGGAGATAATTATAATCCATAAACACTTCACGCTCAGGGCTAAATAAATGTAATCCCTCAGCTGGCGCTTCGGGATTACATATTAACACAAAACTCGTGCGCTGCGCGCACTTGTATGTGTTTATCAGATCATCCCGCTAGCGCGGGATGATCTGTTATATAAACCCTTTGCGTGGCGGGTTTATGTTATTATAAGTATGAGTTAAAATAAACTGGATCCAGGCGGTCATTGGCATTTTTGCCAAGGTCCTTCAGTCAGTGTTCTTAGTGAACACTATGTTCATGGTAGTTTGTAATATGTCGCAGCGAATGGTAAATACCCGTCAGTGTGAGATTATCTTACTGTGAAATAAAGAAAGGAGTCGAAGCAGGTACCCAGACCAATGACATAACAATGCTTTATTCATGAGCATTGCATGAAGAGGGTTTCTGCTTTATTGTGGCAAGCAAACCCGTTGCTAACTGATCCCCCACAAACTGAGCATTAAAACAAAGGCCATTAGAAAAGCCATGGATCATACCCTACTCCTAGGTGAGAGTGCCTTGAGTTTATTTTTAGAACACACTCTACGATCAAGTTGAGACCCGTATCCAGTAGGGACTGACAGCGGTAAGCTTCAGTTTCTGCTGGTAACCGACTCGGCAACAGTAGTGGTACCTGTTTTTGGGTTGGAATGCCGGACACTAGAAAAATGGACACTAGGTCCAGAGTATTAAAGCGAATTGAAAATAATGCTGATATCTGTGGATTTTGTTCAAAGGAAGTCATGTACGACTGTATTCTATGTGAGGGGATGTGTGGTCGATGGTTCCATAGCGCTTGTAGTGGACTGTCGGAGTTGGAGTTTAAAGACCTATCGGAAAATGATTCTGAGTGGTCATGTCAAAGATGTAGCAAAGAGAAGAAGAGCAACGAAGAGGAAGACGAAGACAACCCCATCACCGAAGCTATTCGAGTTTTGAGGAGACAGGTCGAAGAAAGGAGACAGGTCGAAGAAAGTATACATCTATTCCAACACCAGCAACACCTACTAGTAACATCGAAAACTGTCGTTGGGGTAATTCGTTGAAGGGAAATGATATAATAAAGGCTGTAAATGATGCCTATTCGGAGACAATCAAGTGGAAAATAAATCTCTTTAAAATTCCATCTGGGAAGTCGGGAAAACGTTTAATTGAAGAGATGTCAAAGATTGTAGGATACTACATCAATGGTACAGGAATGGAAGAAGTTGCTATCAAGTTGCTCATGGTTATGCCCCCACTTCTATTGCAGAAGCCATCAAAGAAATCTAAAACAAAGAAGCATGTTGAGTACTTGGAGAAAAGACTGAAATGGTGGACAGATGGGGACCTACAATCACTTCTAAGGGAAGGAATGGAAATTCAGAAGAGACTCACTAAGGGAAAGAAGACAGAAGAGAACAAAGAAAAAGTATTTGTCAGACTAATGCTTCAAGGGAAAGTATCAAATGCTATGCGATGGATAGGATCTCAGGCAACATCAGTCTTAGATGTGACCCCCGATGTAATGAAAACTCTTAAAGACAAACATCCACCTCCAACACCAGCGGGAAAGGGTTCCTTACTTCTTGGTGCGAAGCAAAATGTTGAGGATGTCATTTATGAAAACATTGATGGAGATCTGATTGAGTTGTGTGCCAGGAAAATGAGTGGTTCTGCTGGACCATCGGGTCTCGATGCAGATGGCTGGAAGCGTATTCTTTGCTCAAAACAGTTCTCCTCAAAATCAAAACAGTTGGCAGAGAACATTGCAGCTATGGCCAGGAAACTGTGCACCAAAAATGTTATCCCAGAGCATTTGGAAGCTTACACAGCTTGCCGATTAATACCCCTTGATAAGAAACCTGGAGTGAGACCTGTGGGGATAGGGGAGGTGCTAAGACGCATTATTGGCAAAGCAATATCAAGAGTCCTTTAATCTGATATGGTTGGAGCAACGGCTCCCATCCAAGTATGCGCTGGGCTATCAGGTGGAGTAGAGGCTGCTGTTCATGGCCTAAGGAGAATATTCAATGACGATGAAACT